TTTTTAATTTGTTTGGTTTGTATTTGTTTTCTTTTAATGGCCACGTAGCAGTGTCATGCAGTAAAATTAAAAAAGAAATTGCTAGTAGTTAGTGTTACAACCACAGAATTCCAAGATATTTTATTGCTATTTTTTAACTCTTTGAGTTCATCAGAGAAACTCAATTTTCCTTGAAAGCCCGGATGGCTGTGAACCAGAGCTGTGGATGGGCGGAGCCCCGCCCCGCCCCGCCCCACAGGTACCGCAAAATCTTTCCCACCGCACATTTATTTTCCTGGTGTTGGTGGAGAAAGTCTCCCTGTAGAGTTAGATAACTGTTAAGCCTGAACAGTGGCACTAGGCAAGCTGTCTTCTCTACAATGTGGGGACTTCCCCTCAAAGAGCAAGACTCAACGATGCTGGTTCCAATTTGGCTTGATAATGTGACCCGAAGGACTTGGAAGAGGACATATTCTCCTGCTTGGCTTCCCTTGATCCACCACAAGTGTGACTGGGGTGAACAGACATAATGATGAGGGTGACTTCAGGACTGATGGGCAAATTCTGATCCTAGAGAATGAAATACAAGTCCTGGGGATGATAACGATCCCTAGTCTTGTGCTTTGTGGCCGATGCTGTGAGAAGTGCCTTTGTGTAGGAATGGGCACAAGGAAAAGACTTAGGCTTTGTGGACAGACTGCCCTGGGTTTGAATCCTTGTTCTCCCCCATTTGAGATTTGGGTTACTTCATGTCAGATCTTCATCTGTTAAAAAAAGAAAAAAAAAGGGGGGGAAATAACACCTAGTCATGGAATGGTTACATAATTTGGAGATAATAAATGTAAAGTCCCTAACATCTAGAACATAGTAGGAGCTCTGTAAAGAGTAGCCCTTATTCCCAGTGCTACCCTAAGAAAGCCTCTCAAGTACTCACCAGAATTAATAGAAAAACAGGTGCCAGATGGTAACATTTTTTTTTACAGAACACAGTTCTGAAATACACAGGATTCATGTTTGAAGACATCACTTTTGGAGGCTTGGGAAAAATCACAATTTTATAGTATAAGTTTCATACATCATTACTTTAAAATCATTCAGTCTCTTCTCCCAAATAGATGGATTTCTGAAATTTTTAAAATTTTGAAAGATTTAAACATGGCAATATAAGCTATTCCATCTCATCATAATCAAATACTTTTTATCAGTCCTAATGCGAAATGGCAAAAAAGATCATGAATATTTTTTTTCCAAAACTGCCTATCCCTGAAAAATATTTCATTGATCACATCTTTGTATAACTTTTATTAAACATATTAATAAGGCATTATTTTTAATAATTTGGCTTTCAATCTTATCTTGCAAACTGGTTTTAGAAGAGAAAGCTCATCTCACAGCCCCTGATGGCGTACCTCGTGGGCAAAACAGCATTGCTTCTTAATAAACAACCATCTCCTTGAGTGGAAATTAATCCAGGTCATCTTCAGAATTTGTGGGTTAGGATGGGATGCTGTTTGGCCGTATATTTAAACTTAGACAGGAATCGATTCAGATGTTAACTTCAGATTCTGAGCAGAGGCTCTGCTGATGCGGCTCTGTGTACTGGGAATGGGGGCAGAATGCTGTTGGGAGGGTGTTAAGTAGTTTTCTCAACTTCACAAAGAGAGTCGCAGCTTTGGGGCTCTACCATGCAACTGAACTAATTGATGTCTTCGTATAACCTGCAAAAAAGCGTTCTAACTCTTAAATTACCTTATTAAGAATATGTGTCACACATTCCAGAACAACCAGAAAACCTGCATTAGTTTCCAAAGATATTGAATCTTTTATCTTTTAGAAAATTGTGTATCTCAAAAACAAACAAAAAAAAGGATAAAAGGCATAGAATTTTAAAAAATACCTCTCTCTCTTCTCCATCTTCCATCTGTCTTCCAGGTCCTGCTGTAACCCACCTTCATAAATAATCACTATATTTTCATATAACAAAAAATATACATTCACATTCTTCCCCCCCCCCCCCCCCCCCCCCGCTTCATTTTAGCACAACAGGTAGCACAATTTACATACCATTCAGATTTTTTATCTTTTTTTACTTGACAATACATCTTTGGAATTTTCTTGTAGCATTACATATCTTTGTGTTAGTCTGGATCTTTTGAGAAGCAGATGCCAAGACAGTAGTCAACATGAACGCCTGTAAGTGAAGACGGGAAGGAACTGAGAGCGACTAGAAGGGATATCAGACCATAGTACAGGCCTGATTCCAAGTGCGAGAGACAGAGGAAGGCTAAATGGATCCATCTTGGACTGTGATACAGTCGGCAAGACTGTCAGGGAGCCCTCATCCAGAGTCACCCATCGTTTAGCTGTGTCCCCTGCAACTGGAGGCCTGTAAGGCAGTTTTATATCAGGTAAGCACATTGGTTCCCAGAAACCTTCCATTTACATTTTATAGTCCAGAACTGGGTCATATGGTTTTTTCTTACTTGGGAAGGAGGCTAGGAAACTGTGGAATTGAGTATTGGGTTTGGGAGAGAGGATATGATGTCACAAAAATATCAGGGTACCATGAGCAAGGAACACAAAGCCAACTGGTGGTGGTGACTGCCACATTTAATAAAAGTTTATTGGATGAATCAATGAAGATTTTGTGGGTGTGGCTTTAGTACTCTACGATACCTTTAAGGCTCCTTCTTGGAATAACGTGCCCTCCTACCATGAGTCACCTCAGTTTGTGTATTTCCTCCAGTGAAAGAGATGGGCAAGAACAAAACAAGATGACAACAACAACAACAAACATTAATGGCAATAATCTAAACTGGTTTAAAAGTGGCTTTCCCAAAGCATTTCACACTCATCATCACTCAATTTCTATCTCTCTCTGTTTCCACATCATAGACTTTGCACTACTCTTTATAGGAATCTGGTCTTTGTCGTTTGCATTGATAAATTTAGGGCAATAGATAAATATTTTTTTGAAATAATAAGATATAATAGACTTGAATCCAAACTCCCCAAAATAGCCTCCAGTATCCTACAGCCTCAGGCCCCTCACATTCCTACTTGTGATTCTGTTCCAGCCACAAATACACTTCTTGTTTTGAGGGCTTTTGTATACGGTGTTTCCACTGCTAGGAACAGTATTTTGGGTAACAGGGTGTCCTACAGTTCAGCCCAATTTTGACACTATCTATCAGGAGATAGCATCAAATCATTACCAACAGCCTCGTGCTGTTCCACAACAGCCAGTGAGGTTCTATTGCTTGCCACCTAGGGGCATAGTTCTGAAGACAGGAGTTTGGTGAAAAGGAAAGGGATTGTTTATTTAGAGGTTATATAGTTTTGGAATGATGGTAGGTTTCTGCTCCAGGGCCCCGCTTCCTTTGAAATACCCAAAGACAAACAACCCTGACACCCTCTGCCAGTTCAAGAATGTACCTGAAATCCCTTTTCCCACTCCTAAAGTACCATCCTTTCTGAAATGCAGATAACTGCAGCAGGTTCCCAACCATAGTTCAGCTAGTACTGCAGGGGCTTGGAGTCCAGCCACGCGGTCTCCAGGGAACCTGCTGGTCTCAGGAAGTCAGGCTCCCTGTGGCTGACCAGGTTAGCCAGGTGGGGGAAAAGAGCCCACCGATCTGCTTCCTGGTGCAATCTGTTTAAAAGTCCTCTCTCAGACTCCCACGTTTGCCAGAAGCCAGTGGGAGTGTCTAGCTTTCCAACCAACAGGGCCAGTGTTGACCGTTTGCCTTTGTCCCTCTTCTGGAGGCCATGTTTCCTAAGTGGGTAAATTCTCCAGCCAGACATGATCCGTAGGATTTCCCTTCCGCCAAATCACGAGCTGCTCAGCTGCCTACGGCAATCTGCCCCCTCTGGCAAGCTCCCCCGCTCTGGCAGCCCCTCCCTTCACAGGGAGGGCAAGCTGCTTCTAATCTTCAATTCCACCTTGGGGTTTTCTCTCCACTCCCTGCCTTCTCCAGTGATTTGGCCTGACCACTCTGTTACCCACAGGTTACCCACAGGTTCAGGGCTCAGTCCTAAAAGATTACCCTTAACCTATGTTTCCGACCTGCTGGCTATAAACCGGTGGTTCTAACAAACCTTGCCTTTGGTCTTATTAATTTGCCTGAGCAGTTCACAGAACTCAGATGCACATTTTACTCACTAGGTTATTCTGGTTAATTATAAAGGAACGTAAGCCAGGAATAGCCAGATGGAAGCAATGCATAGGGCAATGTATGGGAAAAGGGCTCAGAGCTTCCACGCTTTCCCCAAGGGTGGCACCGTCCCAGCAACTCCACGTGTTCACCAACCCAGGAATTCTTTGAACCTCATCCTCTTGGGTTTTTTATGGAGGCTTCATTATATAGGTGGGATTAATTAAGTCATTGGCCATTGGCGATTGATTCAAACCCTCCAGCCCTTCTTTCCTCCTTGAAGGTTAGGGACTTGGGACTGAAAGTTACAATCCTCTAATCATATGCTTGGTTCTTCTGGTGACTAATCCCCATCCTTAAGTGATCTAGGAGATTTCTAGAGGTGACCTCATTAACATAAAAGGACCTTGTCACTCTTTTAATTTTTGTCTTTCTTAACTGTTTCTACCATTCCCTTTCCCTCTCAGAGATTAGGTAAAACTTTTTGAAACAAGAAGCAAGAATAATTATCCTTTTCAGAAGGCTGAAATCCAGAGATATTTTGAGGGGCCTAACTTTCAGTATTTAGCTAATGGCAAAGTCTTGTTATATTCAGTCAATAAGATATGGTATGAAGAGCATGAACTTTGAGGTATACTCCCAAGGTTGGATTCCCAGCTCTACCCCTTATTCATTGCATATCCTTGAATAACTTCATTTCTCAAGTGTCAGTTTCCTTCTCCTTAAAATGGAAGTAATGATGATACTCCCTCATTAAGACTTTGTGATACCTAAGTGTTGACATGTGGTCCAGTGCCCAGCCTGTAGTGACTTCTCAAGAAACATGAGCTGGTGTTATTGAGTGTTCTGCCTCTGTCAGCCAGTTCTCTCCAGGAGGCCTCAGCTCTCAGACTGGAAGTGCTGTGTCTTCCTGTTGCTGGCGGCAGGAGCAGTAGGAATAAGGTGTTAGGTTAGAAAGGAGCAAAAGCTGACTTGAAGCAAGAAAGAGCTAACGTGGGTAAACTCACTAATTAATATCTGGGTTCCCTTGGTTGGAGAACCGAGTTTCATTTTCTTACAAACGCTGGGCAGTCAGATGCCCTACCCGATGTCTTTTAACCCACAACAAATGCAGAATGCTTGAAGCTGGACCAAATTTGGGGTTATCTCCATTTGCCTGGGCCTTTAATAACCAGTCAATTCTGTTCAAACTTGGGCCACACCCCTGGTAAAAATGTGCTTGTGCAGACAAACTGGATATTTTCAAATACTTCTGGTAAGGAGATTCCATCACTTCTGTAATAATCTCAAAAACTCCTAGTAAGATATTAGTTATTTCTAATAAAGTGCCTCTGATTTCTCTCTCACCTGTTTGGACTTTGTAGGCCAGGCTAACCTGCTGAAGATTTCTAGGTGACTTTTTATTATGGTGTTCAGGTTTAACAGGTAGTTTCTAATCTGACTATTGAATGCTGGTGTGACTGGGAGGAACAGTGCGGTGTTTGCAACTCATCTCCGGTGCGGCAGCAATTCTGAGATGCACCTGCAGGTTGGTGACATTGATTTCTATGAATTGTTTTATTCTTGTCAGAATCGATCCATCAGCCAGTGGCCACCTCGTCCCTGGGTGCGACTTCATCATGTTTCCATCTTCTCACTTCCCCAGTCTCTCCAGCCTGTCAGGAAGAAACAGGTTACCTTGGAGACAGGATGTTCGGAAAATGTATGAAACCACTACCTCTGATTCAGTTATGAGATATCTTATGTAATTTTCTATGCTTAATTTAAACATGTTTTAGAAAGGGATATTATGGGTTTTAAATGGAGGACTTTTTTTTTTTTAGATGTGGAGTTATATATGTCCAAAGACGTTTAAAAATAGTTTTTTTCAATTTTTAAAATAATAATGTAAACAATTGCTTGGGTTGCCCCAAAGATCCATTTTAGTGCAGAGAAGAGAGAATGGATGAAAGAACTCTTCAAGATTTCTTTCAGCCCAAAGAACCCAAGGAAGTGAATTTATATTGGAACAGAAACGTATGTGAGCTCAGACTATTTTATTTCACTATTTTGAGAAATATTATATATCACATTTTTTAATCAAAGAGTAAATTTTCTTTAAAAATTTTTAAAGCATTTATCTTACTTTAGCTTCTGCGTGTAAAAATACAAATATAGGGCTTCTATATGTATCTATTAAACATGTGTATTCATTTACTCTGTAGGATGACATCACCCTTGTCACCCTTTGACTTTACAAGTTTTTCTCCCTTTGTCTTCTCTCTCCTAAAGGGTGACACACAAACACACACACACACGTACATTAACAACTAACCAACCACTGGCCATTTTCCAGAATTAGGGACCTTACAGTGTCAAATGCTTATGGAACCATAAATATCAGACAGTGGCTGCTTTCCAAGAATTTCCTGGCATGATAAAAGGCGGGTCAAGCTTCCTACTACAGACAGTGTTGTTTATACAGCCCAGGGAATGCCTAAGTTAACTCTGCTTCTGCAAGGAGATTGACCCTGCAGGCTGTAAACCATTAACCACAGTGCTCCTTGAACCACAAGGAATAAGCACAGATCTCATTAGGGAGCTTTGCGCTTTAATTCTTGTCATTGAAACTGCAATTGACCCTACTGCGTGTTCCATTCAGTGCTTCAAAGTGAGGTCATTAACAACCAAGGGTGAAGGGCCTATGCCATGATCTCCTTAAATAAGTGACTTGAGCTTAAATGCAGAGCCATGGGAACTTTCTCACCTACCCTTTTAATGGATACTTTGGTGGAAACAGAAGCCCTACAATTTTCTCTATGGTCTGCATCTTTGTTCACGCCAAGGCATTTAATCTCTTGTCAAAATTACTTTTACTGAGATGAAAAGAAAAAAGACTGCATGAGAAGGAGGACTTCAGTTCTATCCAGTGAGTTAAGATGTTATACTTTCTACACTGACTTTATTGTTCTCACCACTTAAAGGAAGAGGGAGGGCTTTAACCATTCACGGAAGCTCAATATGTACCTGATGGGCACTTCACTGGGCATTCTACATACCTCACTACTTAGTCTTCACAGAGCAGTTTTGGTTCAACTTAATCTATTTTACAGATGGGTAAACAGAGTCCTAGAATAGCTAACTTGTCCACATTGAAAGAAGCTAGAATTAAGTCCACCTGAGCCCACAGCCAAGCTCCTTCAGCCAAAGCGCACCCTGCCACAGTTAGCATGCGGGGCGGCCAGTGTCTTAAGACCATGTCTGTCTTCCTCCCTCCCCCTGCTGCCCCTTCTGTGTCCGCCTCTTTTCCTCTCCTTCTCTGTCTCTATTTTGTTTACCAAATATTTCAAGTGTACTAAAACATTAGAAAATAGTGCATCAGATATCCGTGTACTGCCCAAACCAGAGTTTATATATGTTAACATTTTGCAATATTTCCTCTAGATTTTAAAAATATAATCAAAATATTGTATATTTGATTAAAGGCACCTCATCTCATTCTTGCTTACTTTCCTCATAAGTGAACATTATTCTGAAGTTTGTATGTATTCTTCTAGACCATTGCTATATCATAAAAACATATGCATTTATCCAAAAAAACAACTATTTTTGCAATGTTTAGTATAATACTATGAGATTTAAAATTTTACATTGTGATGCTATACAGCATGTATGCTTTACAGCATCTTTTCAAAAGTCATGTAAGTGCGGTCTTAATTCATTTATAAATATAAAATTATGTAAGCATATAATAAATATTTAATTATATAAATATGCAGTAATTTATCCACTCCCTTATTGATGGCCATGTAGATTGTTTGAAGTGTTTTTCTATTACCAATAATACACAATTTCATGATTCCTAATGCCCTATTTAAGTTCCTCTAGGACAGACACCTTAAAGTGGATTTGTTGGAGTATAGTGATATATATCTTTAACTTTACCAGATATTGCCAATTGCCTTACAAAGTGCTGTATTGATGTTAATAACATGCTAGCAACATATGAGAATTTGCATGTGCCCATATCCTAGCAAATCATCAGTATTAACAGACTCCTTAATTGTTCCTAATCTCCAGGATATAAAGTAGACGTTCATGTATTTAAATTAAACATAAATAAGGTTTATCATCTTTTTATAAATATGGTGTCTTTCCTCCCATGTGACTTATCTGTTCATATATTTTAGGTTTTTCTTTTGTTTATCTTTTTTATTGACTTACAGGAGTTTTTAAAATATTTTGGATATTAATCTTGTATAGGGAATACATATGCAAATGTCTTCTGTAGCTTGTATTTTCACTTTGTTTATGATGTTGTTTGTCATACAGAATATTTTAATTTTAATATAGTCAAACTTTTCAAAGCAGTGTTTTAGGGATTTTTTTGTGTTTTGCTTAGGGAATAATTCTTTAAGAATTAATTTTTTTTCTTATATAGGCCATCAATCCATCTAGGATTATTTTTTTATAAAGTAAAAAATCAGGTTCTAACTTTATCTTTTTCCACATGACTAGCGATCAGTTCCAGCACACTTTATTGGAAAGTTAACTTTTTAATGTTAACTTGTACTGCCTTCTCTCTCCTGCATAAAGAAGGCTGCTGCTCTGCACAGGTCTAGGGGGATATCATTCACATTATATTCTGTGTGAATGGCGCAATCCCAGAGCACATAGAATACAAAGTAAATGGTGTCCCCTGGAGCTGTACAATGTGGCAGCCTTGTATAAATCTCCAATATATGTGTTTGTTGGTGTATTAGTTTTCTGGGCTGCTAAAACAGATGACCACAAATTGTGTGGCTTAAACCAACAGAAATGTATTGTCTCAGTTCTGGAGGCAAGAAGTCCTAAATCAAGGTATTGGCAGGGACCATGCTCTCTCTGAAGGTTCTTGGGGAGGATATTTCTGCCTCTTCCTAGCTTCTGGTAGTTGTCATCAATCTTGGTGATCCTTGGCTTGTAGCTACGTGACTCCAATCTCTGCCTTCATCGTTAGACTCTTCCCTGGTGTCTTCAGTCCTCAGTTAGCCTTCTGATGGGACACTACTCATTGGATTAGGGCCCAGTCTAGTGCACTGTGACTTCAGCTTGAAACTATTTACATCTGCTAACTATTTCCCAATAAGGGTACATTCCGAGGCTAGGTAGGCATGACTTTGGGGTGGGTGTGGGGCACAATTCAACCTGTTAAAGTTTGTTTTGGTGCAGTTTCTGTGCTATCAGCCTATTTGTCTACATCTGTGCCAACGCTACCTTTCTACTGTAGTTTTATGGTAAGTCTTTACAAATGGTAGAATGAGCCTTCAGCTGTTTCTAATCTCACTCTTCTTCAAACTTGGCTCTTCTGTGCCCTTCAGAAACTATGAAAATTTATTATGGAATTTTTGCTTGAATTTTGAGACTGACTTGGAAAGAATTGACATATTTATGATAGCATATATATTGATAAGTAGTTTCATTTATTTAGGTCTAGCTACCTGACCTTTTACATAAGCTTCTCATTTTTGACATATTTGTTTTTCATGAGTTTTTTAAGAGGTTCTGTTTATTTATTTATTTTTAGAGAGGAGAAAGGAGGGAGAAAGAGAGGGAGAGAAACATCAATGTGTGGTTGCATCTCAGGCGCCCCCTGCTGGGGAACTGGCCTGTAACCCAGGCATGCATCCTACACGGGGAATTGAACCAGTGACCCTTTGCTTTGCAGGCCAGCACTCAATCCACTGAGCCACCACACAAGCTAGGGCTCATGCTTTTTTTTTTTTTAAAATTTTCCCTACATACCTAATGGTTACTGTTTCTCTTATGAATAAAATACTTATTAATGTTATTTTCTTACTTTGCTATTGCTGACATTCAGGAACACAGTTACTCTATATGTATTTATTTTGTATCTAGTATCATTGTTGAATTATCTTATTAGTTCTACATATTTATGTCTAGATTCTCTCTTATTTCCTGTATAGAGAATCATGTTGTCTATAATGAATAACTGTTTTTCTTTTTGAATCACAATAATTATTTCTATTTTCCCTCATTTTTTTGTATTACCTGTGACCTCCAGGAAAGTTTTGCATAGAAGTAATGGCAACAGGCATTATTGCCTATCATACATTTTTACAATAATATTTTACTGCCCCGAGGCTTTGTGTTGTCACAGTAATGATTTATAATCAGGTCTTTATGTTGTTTATCCCTAAGTTTCTGCCTTTCCTAGCCCTTCCCAATATCTTCAGTTTGTAGAATCAGTTATATCTCATTCTCTACAACCAAGTCCAGAAATATATTACAAGGTCCTTTTCCAACATTTGGGGAATTGAGGATTAAATATTTTGCTGAGCCTGTGGTGAAAGCCTCTGATCCTCAGTCTTTCTTCTTAAATCCTTTGTTTCCTGAGAAAGAAACTGCTGGGAACTCATCCTTCCTATGTCTTCTCGTTCTGGGCTTGGTGTCCTGTTAATCTTTGCCGATTTCTCCTTAGGGGATAGACTAAGGATATAGACCTGTTTCAAATCAGAATGATTTTTCTTCAGTCTGGATGCTACTACC